TTATCACCTGCATCGTCAGCGCCGTTACTATCATTAGAATTCAAACCACTACCAATACCACCGCAATAACTATTATCAGAGATAACCGCAAGAAATGCTTATCCTCTTTTCGTAATCAGTAATTGAACGAATGATAATATAACAACAAAATAGATAAAAAATAAGAAAAGAAAAGCATGCCTATATTCAATAAAAAATTTAAATATTTGTATATCTTCTTCTTCAACATATAAATAAAATGTGTGCAGAAAAAATGGTGTTTACTGCGTGAATGCTGACCGTTTATATCGCTAACAAAATTGCAATATCTGCGAAAAAAAAAAAAAAACAATCATAAAGTTACTAAAACAGATTCTTCAAAACAGAATGCTTTTGTTTTTATTTTTTTGGCGCTACCCTATGATGTATGTATTACTTAAATTTCTTCAATTGAACAAAACAAAGACTATAAGCCACAACAATTAGTTTAGATAAAAAAGCCTACACTTATCAATAATAACTATATCTACTTCTTTGCATTACAATTTTATAAATGCATTACCAAAATAGTGCAAATAAAGGCACAAAAAATGCACCTACTGACCTGAACGCCATTCAATCTACTTGGCACTACAGGCTCTATCTAAAAAGGCTGACTGAAAAAAACAGCAAAAAGTTTTTGTCACTTTCTTGGCATCAGCTGTCCTAACAGATCGACAACGATTTCGCAGAACAATAAGACAAATTGATAATAATTTATTGTCACCACTATTGCCACCACCTCCAGTACCCGTCATCAACTCCAACGTCACCACCGTTACTGGCAACACCTTGGCAACAAACAAGAAAGTTAAAAAAATCCAATTATTCTCCTGCTTATTTGTGTCATCCAAGTAATCTTTTGCATAACCTTTTTTTATGCTTTGCTTCGATGCGCTTTGCATTACTTCGGTTTGCTTTCGCTTCCTCAGCAGTCAAAACAAACATTTTTGTGTCTTGGAAGAGAGTAAAAAAAAAGACAAAAAAAAAAAAA